TATGCTGAAATAAAGTCATACAAAGTCCAAATATAGAATATCAATAAAATGCCTGAAAAAGTCCAACTATGGTATGTCGAAAACATATAATTATATAATTTAATTATAATATAATAATATAATAGTATTAAAAATAGTATAATTTATGTCTAAAATAGTCACACAAAGTTAAACTCTAGTTATGTTCTATGTTTTGCTCAATGAATGCCTTTAAAAAGATGCATGAATTTCTCTCTCCATATCTGTGCCATCATCTTTGTCCCATGGTTGTAAGTTCACTATGTTCCTGCGCTGTCCTTCACTCAGTATTCACTTAGAGTTTGCGACTCCCACACTCTGATCTACACCGCTGGATGGATTGCTTTCCCCACCAACTCTCTCCCCTTCTCTCTGCAGGAGTTCCCTGCTGTGCGCCAATCCCTTTCTCACAGGTGATTGCGCAGGGAATATTGATTAAGGCACACTTCTGAGAAGTCACTATTTCAAACTTTCTGTGACTTTAATGTGAAATAAAGTGAGCTGTGTCCCTCGTCAGTGATAAACACCCTGTTACGGATGAAGGATACTTTTAAGAAAACGCTCTCCACACTCACCTCTGTCTTCATCTCTTTGGCTTCCGTCAGCCTCAATTGGTCTATCTCATCCTATTTCTCTCACACACACACGTCAGCTTTAAAATGTAATACGGTACTCATTGAGACAAGGGCTCATATCTTCCACTGTCTCTTTAATTGATTTGATGCAAACAGGTCAGATCAAGGTAAAGGCATTTTGAAAGGATGCCATAAAGAACATCACCATATCAATGCTCATTACATTTGTTTAACTATTAGTGGAGCTCTACAAATGCAATTAAAACATCCACATGACTTTGAACTGTCTCCTGAGCAATATACGTAGCTTATTCTGTGGGTGGTAGTATGTGAGAGGGCTAGTGTTAAATCATCTTCTTTTAAAGAACATATCCATGAGAGGTGAACTAATTCACTCACTAGAGTAATAACTGAATTCTGGGAACACGGCACAGACAGGGCTAGATACAAGCATTCAGACAATTTGGCTAATCTGGGGGTTTGTCAGATTGTCTGACTGCCTGCATTTCTTTCCAACTCTGACTTCTTTTCTCCACATATTAGCAGTTAACAATGTTACAATGCTATGATATCCGCTGGATGGCCCGATTTAAAAAAAACAGGACTAAAGTTGTCTAAAACAGGACTTTCCCTTTCAAAAAAATTAACCGTAATCTTCATCTAAATCTTCACATACATACAAATACACGCATGAAATCGGAGTTGTATTTAACCAATCCTATACATTAAGAGCAGTTGGCTGCTGTAAAGCACCCGGGGGCTCATTTAATGACACTTGGTGGCCACTGGGGCAGCAGGGTCGGACTTCAATCAGAGGATCGGCGGTTCGATCCCCAGCTCCCTAGTCCATGTCGATATGTCCTTGGACAAGACACGGTGTATGAATGGGTATGAATGTTAGTTAGTTCTGATGGGCAGGTGGACCTTGCATGGTATAGCCCCTGCCATCAGTGTATAAATGGGTGTGAATGGGTTTTAAGATGACATGTAGTGTTAAAGCGCTTTGAGTCACGGGAAGACTAGAAAAGTACAGTCCATTTACCATTTACCGCTTCAACATGCGGACAGGAGCAGACAGGGAATGATCCGCCAACCATGTGATTAAAGGATGACCCACTCTTCCCCTTGAGCTGCAGCTGCTGCAGGGAGCAAACAGAAAGCTGACATGTTAGTGTAAAGATCAAATTACTTTTGCCAAACTCCAGTGGTTTAACTGCTCAGATTGTTGAAGTGATGTACAGGTGTACTCCAGGACACTGTGACATAACTGTTGGGTGGGGTTACAAGATGAAAATGGAGACTTGTACTTGGGACTTGGACTCAAGTCACACTACAGTTGCACACACTGTGACTTGAGACTCGACTTCATTTTATTTAATTTGTGAGCCTTTCTGGGTTTGAGAGGCTAGAAGCATGTGTTAAGTTACAGTCGATTGTAAACTGTCATTAGTTGGAGACCCAGAGTAATTAAACAATAAAGTTGTACTCTAACTGTTATTATTGCATGCCTAATAATATTAGCATCATTTTCCTGTTACCCTGTTGCATAAGTCTATATCCATTTTAAGGGGCAAAAACAATTATTTAAATTAAAGGAAAGTTGTCACTGTGTTTTTCTTCATATTGCATTTTAATAGCCTGTTTAAAGTGATCATACACCAACAATCTAATTGATGGTGATACTGTATGCTAATAGATAATGGAGGGATGATACAGCAGCCTACATGCCTATGCCATGTTCTCTGCTCGAGCCTGATCTCCTGAGGTTTTAGAGCGTGGCAGGACCGCCTGCCACAGTGTCTCCCCAGCCATCGACAACCCATCCTTCAGCAGACTTAATACAGAGGGTTGAGTTGGCTTCGGGTCTAGCTCCAATTAGAATCCAGGGATCTTCAGCCTGACTGAGGGACAGCCTCCGGTACTCCTGTAGCAACGGAGCAGGACCAAGGGATAGCAGTGGCGTGAGTGGAACAGTCTGGGGAGCGGGTATTGGGCCTGGTGCGGCAAGTAGAATCTAGGACAAGTTGTTTAGCCTGGGCAGTAGTGACAGCAGAGAACTCCAGGACAAGTTTGTATTACAGTTTGATTTCAAACAAGAGGTGTCATTTTTCAACTTTAAAAAAAGGTCAGATGGCAAGACTCACACACGGCCATCACGTTAGTAGATAACAGTTCTTAAAAAGAACTCAAATCCAAGCCGAATTGTCCTTAAAGGTTTTCCTTCAGTCAATGACGCTTAAAATACCGAAATAAAACATTTCCTGAGTACTGTTTGATGAGTAGCTCTGCTTGTTTCTTGTAATCTAGACCTATTAAAAGATACAGTTTAAACAATCAATGTCTAAAAACTATATAAAACTGTGGCTTTGAACTGGGTTAAAAGTCAGTTTATGACAGAGCTCTCAGAGTGTCGAGTTTCTTAGTCCCGCATCTCAAGTACTGAGACTTGACTTGGACTTGCAAAAAATAACATGTGAGCATCTCCGGTTACAGGCACACTTAACCCCAACCAGAGAAAGGTGAAAAAAGATGTGAAATGGTCTGTGCTTTCAGTAAAATCCTCCTTTTCAATCTGGAGTTAAGTTACTCTTTACCTCAAAGATCTCCACATTTTCATTAACACCACCTCAAAAGATTTGTAGGAAAACAGCAGGCGATTTCAACACTTCTTCAGTGACAACTTTGCTGTTCCTCTGATAAAAGGATAACTTCATGAATCTCGTTGGCTTCCTCTTGGTTTGGCACAGTCGTCTCTCTCGAATATGAAGGCGGATAATATCAATCAATTAGAGTCAATAAACAGTTATGGGGGGAAATGCTGAGAAATGGCTACATCACCACATCTTTTGACTCACCTCATTAACCATATCATTATGGGCAACATTATGTGCAACACACTTTCCAGTGAGCGAAGTGCTCTAAAAGTCTCAGTCTCTGGCAACTGGAATTGACGAGACTGCCGTTACTGCTCGTGTATTTGTACGCATGTGTGTGTGTGCAAGTGTGTGTTTGATTAGAGCTTAGAAGGGAGGAGAATTTCTACCAGTTTGTCAAAATATTGTCACTTTTCTTTGAGAATCATTTTTTTGGGGTTTGCGTGTCATCCCAAGTGACGGGCACATTTATTAGTGGCTGATTGCTTTTAACGCAAGCTGCCAGCCAGACCGGCGGCGACAAAATGCTTTTTATTTCCAATTGAAACCAAGCATTAGACATCAAGCTCACGCACAGCACTGACAGAAGCGTTATTCGGATAATAACCCTCTCCTCTCCACTTTTTGAATCACATTTAATGAAATCAGAATTATAGCCCATTGAGTCATAGACCTTAAAAGTGATTGACTTGTTTTCCAAGGCGTTTATTGAGTGCATTTTAGTACAATATTTCTCAGAAAGTTACAGCTTACAAACTCTTGACACATACTTGTCACAATTTACAAGTGGTAGCTATACAGAAAGAAAAAAACAACAAACAATAGACTTCACGCTCTTAAACAGTGTACCTGTGCACACATACATGTCTGTACACACAAATGTGCCTGCTATGCTCACACAGATACATTCACTCTCTCACACACAGACAAACAAAGTACGACAATGTGCACGCTCATATCCATCTCCAACATCCATTGTGTAGCACAGGGCGATGTTATGACTGGTTTCCTTGAAAAGGTCCCATTTCACCTGCTCCTTCTTCCCACAGCAACTCCAAGTGTTCACATGGTGTGTGTGCATGTAAAAGTGTGACATGAAGTCTTGTGTGTTTGTGTTTTAATATGCGTGTATATCGAGTCCACGGTCTGAAACAGAGGGGGAAAAAGAATGGAGTAGTTTAACAGGGTAGTTTTTGTAGGGTGTCGTGTCAGGCCAACGCGGCTTCTACAGTTGTGACCTATAAATGATAGGCGTGAAATCAGCTACTAAAAGGATCGTTGGTCACTTCTCCGACAGTAACAGCACCATGAAACATTTTACAAGCTCTGTTCTTGTGTTTTGTATCAGTGTGATGAATGGCTTCCATATGAAACGGCTTTCAGAGAGGGATGGCGACCCGCCTCTCCATTCATCACACTGGAGTGTCATTACAGTCAGATATTTAGAAAGACAAACAGAGCAAATGGAGAATTACACTGTTGCATAATGAATGCATTCTATCATCTCATTCACAGGCTCTTGGGTTGAAAAGCAAATACATGAGACTGAGCTGAATAGAGGACTAATGGATTCAAATTGAATCGTTGGCTTCTGCGAAAAGGGATTCATGCCAATCTCAAGAAGTATGTGATTATTATTATATTGATAAATGGAAAAAGAGAAAGCAATTGATTTTGCCCATGAAGCAAACCAGTTGCTTGATTACCGTATGTTCCATTACCAAACTAAACCAACGAAATTAACTTTATACAATGACAAAGATGTTGCCACATAAACCAAACTGCAAAACAAAAACAGCCGATTTACTTCAATAAGCTAACTTTCTGACTTTCATCCAACACTCCATCTTTATGTCGCCTCTATCCTGCAACCCCACCCTTCTGTAAACTGACTCATCCCCCTCTTGCAATCACATAAGCACAGACTCTGTCGGGTCTCTGCCAACTTTCTCTTCATTAAGCATCAGGCTGGAAACCAGATGTGGGCAAATCATAATAGAGGGTTCCTTAGTTTGTGTGTATTTGGTTTTTGACACTCCCATCAGTCTCCCTAACCGTGGCTGATCTGATGCCTGTCAAATGGGGGTCCCAGCAGGTGTTTGCATCCTTGCCTGGGCCCACTTGAGCGTGGAGCCAACCATTTCTCAGGCCGGGGTGGCCATGGCCCAGCCCACTCCAGGACAGCCCAGGACAGCTTGGTTACACCAAGGATAAACGAGCTGGAGATGTGCCAGCTAGCGAGAGAGGGCAGGGAGAGAGGGCAGGACAGAGTGAGGAGGAGGATGACTTAAGGCGGGTGAGTATACATAATAATCACTTAGTGGGTCCGCCATCAATTTGTAATTTGGGATGAAAGGTGGTTAGATCTGTATTCATTCATGCCTCTTCACATAGGGCCAAAGGGGATATAAGCAGGGCCACAGCTACAGCAGGGACTTGATTATACAAAAGCTCATGATAATTGTCTGTGAATACACTTTGCTACCATGGCCGCATGTCATGGGAAAACAACCACAGGGACATTCGGGTCAGTTTGCTTTCAATTGTTATTACTATTTCATCAACACTTGACAAAACTTGCCAAAGAAAAAATAAGTAAGCAAAACCACCTCTACTCATCACCAAGCTGCTCTCACACTATCGCATTGCACAGACCATCCCCAGACTAAAAAAAGAGAAATCATCCTTGTGTACTATCCAGCAATATTCGCAAAATATATTCCAGATACAGCAGTGTAATTTCAAAGACAGTCCAACCACAGCATCCCTTAGGAACAGTATAGACGTCTTGCAATCAAGCACTACCAAAGAGTGTGTTTCCAAACACCAATTCCTGCAGCTAAGACTTATGGACCGATTCATATATGCATGAAACTCCCACAAAGTGTTTGCCCTCAACCTGTATACCCATATGGCAGCAGCGTATAGTGAGAGTGCATAGATGTACTCAGCAGCTTAGCTACGGCAGTCTGTGGAAGGCTTTTCTACAGAGTGAGCGGCGTGGAACCCGTGTGGGTTGTTTATTAATAAGCCTGTGTGTTCATAGGAATGGCGTCTGTTGGCAAACCTCAGCCCAGATGCTCATTTTGACTGTGTAGAGAAGTGAAAAGTGATTTCCAGCGCTTTGATTAGCTACTCTCCCAAGCATTTCAAACGTGCAGCGGGTTTTGCCCCGCCAAAGATACTTACAGGACCCATGAGGAAGACTGACTGGATTTGCCTGAAATACTGATACACAGCAATTTTATGCAAAGTCAACGGATATTTACCATAGATGTGGGCCAGCCGAGGTGTGGAGTTTCCTTCCCCTCTGGATGTTGCTGAGCACTCGCAACACACACACACACACACACACACACACACACACAACAACAGAACAAAAAGAAATAAAAACATAAAACATATCTGTACAAGTAAGTGCTCACCAGCAAGAGACAGAATGTGTACAGCCACATTAAACGGATATTTTGTCAATTATTTTAACTCCTACAGCAAATGTCATATAGTTCTACAATACCAATTCTTTGCCTAAAATTCCTTTAATGTTTTCCTTAGCTTAAGATCCGGTTAGGATTGCCCTTGTGCCCCTGAAGCAGGGAGTCGTACAACCCAGTGTCTGTTGTCCGGCCGCCTGAAGGAAACCAGGGCACCGTGGGGAATCTACACATTGCATGTGTCTATCACAATCTAGTCAACAAACATGTCTTTGCCAAAAATGCAAGCAGAGAGTTCTGTACATACATATTCATACATATCACCTTCAATATGAAGGTTTATTATGACATATATAATCATATTCAGCAAGAGATAAACATATTTATATTCTCTGAATCTGGGTGGGGCTGGTTTAAGAAGTCCTTTGGCAAGGCCCTCCACCCAGGTTACCACAGGTAGTGTTAAAGATAAAATACGAGTGGGCGGCATCTTGCTATAGTGATAAAAACAAAACAAACAAACAGATGGTAAAAGACAAAAATATAACTGGCTCTAAATTTTGGCCAGTCCATTTAGAATACATTTTTTTCAAATTCTTCAAATGAGCAAAATATGACGTGAAAGTTGAAGATGGTGCTCCACTGTACATCCCTGTATTCTTCTCCCTCTAATTATTCCTATTGGTCACTGCTTTTTTCTTCTGGGACTTATTTCTGGCCAGGTCAAGGCATCTTCATTGCACACATTGACGACGGTAAAAATCACAGGTCACACGTTGTTTCTAAATGTCTCACACTTCGCTTTACAATTTTAACATCTTCAAGTCCAGATAATAAAGAAGTACAATATCACTCATTGTGCCATACAGTCTGAGATTGTGAGGGAGTCCCTGTGTCAATGTCAGATTGTTGGAGTTATTTTGGTTTAAAATGACATGAATGGCAGTCCATAACCACATCAACTGATACCTGTCTTCCTTCCTTTATTGAGGATAAATGGAGAAACAGCATCAAGTCTGAACCCTGAACTCCCGGCGTGGATTGCATGAAGTGTGATAACGGTTAATCATGTGGTGGTGTAGACCCTGGTCTCCTGTTGTCATGGTAGTGTGGATTAGATTAAGACAATTGTCTCGATTCTGGCGCGTTCCGATGGATCAGGGGTCATTCGAGGGCTGCCATTGTTGTTGGTCCTGCGAATGCTGCCTGCTCCGTGGCACAGCGCCCCCTGTAGTCATGCTATAGTCGTGGGTGACTGGCTCATCTGCACCCTCATGGACTGGATATTACTGAGGATCTTCTTTTGGTGGCCTGCCAGGGTCACTCCTATTCTCAGCAAGTCCCTGGAGAGAAAGAGAGAAAATTGAAAAGCAAGAACATTTTTGAGGCAATGGATGAAAGACTTTCCATCATATTGAAGATGGAATGGATTATTTGAGTGTAAAGGCATTATACTAGCAAAATACAAAGACTTTCATTGTCGGGTGCATTTTACAGTCGTAACATCGCTGTATATGAAAGAGCAATTTCAGGGTGAAAAGCTGGTAGCGATGAAAAGAAAACACAAATTTACTAAATTAATTCTACCACTTGATAGAAGACTTAGTAATGCGTGTTGCTTTGCATTGCAAAGAGACTGCATAAATGCCACCAAGCCCCAAGCATACATTTTTAATAAAAAAGTTAGAATGATTATACATTTTCACATAAATTTGTAGACCAAGCAACATTGTTAATTAAAATAAATGAAGTGTAATGTGCATGTCTATTGGTACCACGAGTGCTATGAGAAATTAATTCACGACCCATGCTTTGAAACACTCATGAACACAGAGACAGTAGCAAATAAATGTGTCTCTTAAAAATGTGTATTTAAAGGATTTACATCCTTATCCATTTTGGAAGTGTTCATAGAAAATCTTTTGGATGCAATCTTCAAAGACTTGAGTCACTGGGCGCATTCATGCTAAAAATACACACACTTGATGTTTAGTCATTTCATACAAGTGCGCCCATCAGTTGCCATATGGATTTAGACCTGAGCATGAGCAGATGAACTCACTCTGAGGTCATTTGAGCCACCAGCTGCAGGGAGGTAAAACCTGAGTTTAGGAAGTTGTCTCTGTACTGGCTCATCTTGATGGCACCGAGCCAGTCCTCTACTGAGCTGAAGGTGTTGAAGTCAGGTATGGATCTGTCCAACAGTGGCTGAGAAGGCCTGCAGAAGCGAGAGGGGAAAAGGGGGGTAAGTATAGTACAGGGCTTTGATAAAAGGAGGATTTGAAATGAAGGAGAGGAACTGTGGTTATGGTTTTTACGTAGGTGTGCATGAGAAGATGCAAGATGGAGAAGGAGAAAGTGTGAGTGTATATATCTATCTATCTAGAGAACAGCTCCACTCCTTGGCTGAATGGCAAGTGCTGCTACTACAACAAGCAATCTATCGTGATGTTTCTCAGTTTCAGATATAAGAAAACTGGTCACAATTAAAGAAACAGTGAACTGAGCTACAATACAGGAGGGACCGTGTTGAAAAACAGGCTCCATTGTAGAAACTCAAACTCACACAAAGCCAAAAGTTCACCTTTTAACATGGCAGCTGCACAAAGCACAGGGCAAAACCAGTGGCTTCAGGACAAGTCTCAAAATGACCCTCAGTGTCCCGACCAAAGCCTCAAATTTGGAATGGAAAATCTGTGGAGGAACCTGAAGCTTGCAGTTCACAGAAAGTCCACAACCAATCGGGATGAGCTTGAGAGGATCTTCAAAGAAGGGTGGAAGAAATTGCCCAAAACAATTACGGGACTGGCAATATCATATCCATAAGTTTCAAAACAAATCAAGGCAAATGGTCCCTCTACAAAATAATGAATACAAATCCTGAATATCTCTGTACATTTTGTATTACTGACTACATTTTTGGAAAAACACGTTTTTTGCTATAACATTTTAAGGTTACCTTTGTGGTTAAGACACCACAACATGTGGAAAAATCCAACTTTTTAAAGCCAATATGGGGGTCCGAATGGGTGGGAGGAAAAGTTCAGGTTTGATGCAATCAACAGTAATAAATTCATGTTTATTTTATGAAAGGATAAAAAGCAAGCATGTGCGTGTTGGATTGTTTGTGCAGACAGCATGTGTAAATACTGTATATATAAACTGCTGAAAAGCATATTTCTGTATACTTAATGTCCCCTTTAGGGTGAATGCACGTGTAATGTGCGGGTTGAAAAAGTGTTTTTACTCACACTGCAGGGATGTTGGCTACAGCTTTGAGGCTGGTGGGATTACGGATCATCTTGTCCAGGGTGCTGACAATGTCGGCAAAGCGGGGTCGTACGTTACGGTCCTTCTGCCAACAGTCCAGCATCAACTGGTGCAGAGCGCTGGGGCAGTCCATAGGTGGCGGCAGACGGTAGTCCTGTTCAATTGCGTTAATCACCTGGAGTATGGGTGGGAAGGGGAAGTTTGGGTATTTACAATGTATTGCTGTCAGTCCCAGGTTTTTTTCTACCAACTGGCTGGTTGTCAGTAATATACTTCATTAAAAAGAAAATACCAATTTGAGTTTGCAGTGACTAATGATATTTAGCATATTCACTCTGTAATCCAGACACGCTCATCCCTGCCTCAACAACACCCCATCCCTTTCCCATACGGACACGCTCCCTCTGGCCACTCAAGAAACAGTTAGCATTCATGCTGATGTGCCCTTCTTTTTGACTGCAGCCAATCATATGCCACTCCTGGAGGACAGAGCAATGAAAGAGACGGCAAGGAAAGCAGAGGCAGTGTCACTGCAGAAAGAGGTCATTTGGGAATGGGCAGATTCCATATAATTAACACTGTGAAGCACAGCCACTTGACACATGTCTCTTAAAGGCTGCCTGGCCTTGTTAGAGAGAAGCTACAATAAGAGTTTCAGGGTAGTCAGAGATAGAGTGAAGTGTTTTGAAAGAGTTGAACAAAGTTTTATCACAACTTGAGGCAGATTTGGAGACTGAGGCTGAGTGGAGTACCTTTAATCCAATGACCACCCTTCAAACTCCAGTCACTTCTTTTTTAGCTATAATGTATGTTTTGTAATAAATGATTATGTCTAAATAACTATATTATACCAACATAAATTAAAAAGCTTAATCTGCTGCCATGAAGCCACTTCTTAGACATTACAAACACAAAAGACCCAGATTGCTGCATTGCACATTGATGGACCTCTCTCTCACCCATATCCATGTATCCAAACTGTCTGTAGATGCAATCTTTTCTTAAAAATGCATAGTTGCGAGATAAGGGTCTGGTGTGAAATGAAGTCTAAAAGATACTATCATTGAAAATTAGAGGCTGCTCTGTCGGTTGCCAAGCCCACCCCGGAGTTGAGTGCAACTCAGCACAATCTTGACAAATGGTGCATATGGAGAAGTGGTTGTGTGTGTGTGTGTGTGCGTGGACTGAGCAGCCGGACATGCTGAGCAGTGCCAGTCCTCTTCTCTGCATTAGTCCCACCAGGCAGTGTTTGCTGCTGGCCCACTGAGGCAACATCTGCTGGGTTGGACGGTCCTTGTGGAGCAGGGTCCATAGAGGCCTGATGGTTGGCTGATTGTCTCACTAAGGGAGCTTAGGGAGAGAGACTTTGTAGTATGGGACTATGTCCAATGGTTGTGGGGGTTGGTGTTGGTGCCTGTGTGTTTGTTGGAGTCTGTGTGTGGACCTTATCCAAACGGACATGGGGAACAAAGCAGAGCTCTCAGCAATCATCCATTGCTCTCAAAATCTGGCCAGGAAGGAAAGAGGATCGTGTGCAACTGTGTCCATAATACGTCTGCTTTCAAAGTCAGAGTCAAGGACATCTTCAGTCATGATGCTATGAGATGGGAGCCGATAAAAATGTGTGATTTATTACAGCTTCCTCTCTTATGAGTTATCCTTGATTGTGTATCTATTGGGTCGTTTAACCACATCTGTACGCAAATGGCCATCCACTTAATGAGGCAGTTTATTCAGATTCAAACTTGTTTTTTTACACTGACTTAAATGTTTATTTTTATGATTTTTCTTTAAGATCCCATAAACTCTAACTTTCTAGAAAGCTGCTACTTCCTAGTGAGAGGTGCATCTTCAGCGGTGACGCCATGCTGTACTAGTGGGTGTAACTAAGAAGTCAACACATTATTTGACAATTACACTTTTCAGCCTGTCATATCAAATACAACGGCTTTTCTCTCCATGACTGAAAGCCCAGTTAACGCTCACTATCCAATGTTCCGCCCTAACATCCTTTTTAGAAGGAAAAACATTGCATAAACAAGTAACGATACAAATTCATTGGTCTACCAGTAAACACTTACATCCTGGTTGGACATGTCCCAGTAAGGCCTCTCTCCAAACGACATCACTTCCCACATGACGATGCCGTAGCTCCAAACGTCACTGGCAGAGGTGAACTTTCTGTAAGCGATGGCTTCTGGTGCTGTCCACCTCACTGGGATCTTCCCACCCTGAGGAAAAAAAGGGGCAGAAGGTGAAATTTAAGGAAAAAAACAGTTTCACAAAATGTTTTTTTGCCAACATTCTTTTGCTGCCATTACCCTCAACACCTCCGTGCTTGCCTCAGCTGTATACTAAAACTCTTTATCCCCCCATTGACCCAGTATCAACACTCCAGCAGCCAAAACATACATAAGATTCTGCTTCTGTCTCAGCAGCGGCTCCCAACAGTGTCCGCCCTTCACACATCGACCAACATCACATTTAGCGTCTCCTCTCCCAGAGCAGTGTTTGAATAAAGGACGATAGGCCCAGGCTTCTGCTCGTACATCGAGCTTGTCTGCCTGTAATTGGGCTACCTGGGCCTCAGGCATGCCACGCGCCCTATTGGCTGAAATTGACAGCTGCTTGTTTAATATTCCACACACACACACACACACATTTATTTATATATATATATATATATATATATATATACACATACAGTATATATACACACACATTTGGGAACATATGCACAGGCACAGACAGACGCAATTGTGCACACCCACTCTGAACACCCCCCAACAGCACCTCCTCATTTATCTGAAGTGAGCTTGCCACCAGTTTAATAATGCCAATTAGCTGAATCTGAGCATTTGCAGATAAGCCGCTGTTGGAGACAAACCCAAACCCAAAAGGCAACCTACACAGACCACCCTGTTCTCTGCTCACTCTCAGAGAGCAAGAGAGTAAGAGAAGACTCAGAGAGAGAAGAGGGAGGGATGTAGAGAAAGAGACGGAGAGGGAAATGAGAGATTAGTGAGGAGATTGAGAGACAAAAAATAGTTCTTCCGCTCCTTTTCTGTACTGCAGGCGGATGTTTGAAATGCTGGACAAGAATAATCATAAACAGGTTTACTTGCGTGTATTTCTGTATGTGTACTGCACACACACACACACACACACACACACACACACACACACACACACGTATGGAGGTGTTACAGGTCAGTGCTGTATGGCACTGCAGAGGTGGAGAGGCTGAGCTCATTAACGACCACCTCTTTTGGGTTTGACCTTTGCGAGGTTGCCGACGCTGAAAAGAGATTCAACACCAGACCCTGAATGAAAACTGCTATAAGGAAACACTGCAAGACGCAGAGGCAACACACTCAGCTCTCAATGAGCACACGAGCCAGCGGAGAAGCAGACATGAAGCATTGAATGAATTAGGCGATTGGTGCAGTGTGTGGTTGTCTGTGTGTGACCGACGGAGAAAATGAGAGAACAAGAAAGAAATACGGAGAGGAAGAGATCAATAATCTAAGCCCCAACGACTTCAGTGCTTTTCTCATACCTCAGACTAGTTCATATCTGAATCGTTTCATCTTTACTAAGACCCCAAGACACTTTCTCTTGCCCTTCCTTTTGTCTGAGGGCAGACTGGAGCTACACAGATACAAGCTGAATATCATCCCTGAGAAAAAAACTAAAGGGCCAATCCCCTTCCTCTTCATCTGTCACTCTGTCAGGGGCAATGCTTCAAGTCAATTATTTTATTTGGAAGAACATACATAAGATGATAACATGAAAAAATAGCTGCTCCAAGCAAAATGCTCTCTATTACGGTCCCTCTTCATCATTACTCGCTCACTCCCTCTTTTGCTCTGTACATCTGGTCTCATGCCCCGGGACCCTGTTGGGGATATGAGCTGAGTGTCGCTGGAATGGCCTGAGCAAAGACACAGGCTTCACAAGAAGGTCCTTGTGTGCCTCCAATGAGAAAGACTTTAGTAATAACATTTCCAAGGCAAGTGAGTCAGAGGCAGCTATGCAAACCCTTAGTAATTACTGCTGTGGGCCAATGATAGCTCTGCCAAAATCCTGCTTTAATAACATGAAGTGCTGAACAGCTCATGCATATAGGGAAGAAGGCAAAAACAGAATAAAATGATTGGAGCTGGATTTTTTCCAGTAAAAAGAGCACCAATACCACAGGGAGTTGGGGAGTAGCAGAAGTGATGATGGGAATTAAAACAGACCTATAGTCAACACAAAAGCAGGAGTGCTGTGTGGTGCCTCGAAGTATGGGGAGAGCTCTTTGGATATGGTATATTGTGCTGGTTACTGAAGAAGAAACAAGCTGTTTTCTGTTTGCCTTGAAGTGAAATATCGCCCCTGAAACTGAATTCACACACTGCTATCATCTCGGACAGTTAACTCAGAATTTGTGTAGATAAGCCAGAATGTAGCACAGTCACTGCAGCTGCAGAACTTCTAGGCCTTGAGAGGAGTAATGTGTAATGATATCAAGTGACACTTCGCAAAACTCCCATGATAATAAATAAAGTGGGTGACATAGAGTGCCTGATTCTCCAGAGATACTGGATGGGTCTATTTTCTGGTTGATAAATGTGGGTACTGTGAGGAAAAAAGTGAGTGGCCATGAGGGGGTGAAAACCTGAAATAAATGTGCCACAAAGATACCTTACCATATTCTGTCAAAAAAAACAACCTCTTGCCCATTTTCCACACTCTGTGACATTAGCAATTTTTGTTCAACTAAATTTTCACATTAGTCATTTGGACAACACATCCAACCATGTTTGCACAGACAATTCCTATCTAGAAAACCTTGAGCAGAAACAGGAGTGCGCTGTCAACCTAATGTCACCAGAATGAGGATTACAGTACTGGCTCCACCTGGTTGTGACCACCTGCGTCAGGCAGTGACCAGTTGTGACAGCTAGCGATATGTCTGGAGTGCGACTGCAACAGAGATGTGCTGGGACTGTCAGGTTAAGAGGTATCACGTTGAGACGAGTGTGTTCCTGTGACAGCCAGGTCCACCAGATGAAGGATAAACATGTGGTGGTGAAATAATGTGTGTACTTACTGGTGTCTGTAATGGTCTCTTTGCCCAATAAAGTGTGTGTATAGACATTGATACACATAGCAAGGATATGAAACACCTGTCATGTCTTTGCAGTGGTTCGAGCTGCCCATCCACCAATGTGCCAGATATCTTCATGGAGACTGTCACTGACATGCTGCTGCAGAATGAAGTAAAATCTGAAGCAAATATACCTGTCAGAGTACAATGACTAGTCCACGCAACAATATCCCAGATAAATGTACTGTAAATGAAAAAAGAAGAGTTCAGTGTTTGGTCTTGATTTTGCTCAGCCTTTTCACTTCACAGAAGTTATTTAGAGATTCCAAGTAAACTTTCTCCTTAATCTGGAAGACAAATATGCAGATATCCTTCTCCCCGTCTTATTTCCTCCCCTGTTCCTTCTTCTCTTCTTCTTTCCTTTAATCCTCCAACTTCAGTTATCCACTTCCAAACAATGCACACTCAAATGGACTTGAGCACATTTACTTAGGCTGGGGAGAGTGCTCCATCAACATCCTTTTAATGAAATCCTGAGAGCAACGATCTGCCTTGGATGTCTGCCCAAAGAGGAAGAGAAAGAGAGTGGGATGGAGAGAAGCCAAGAGAGGGAGAGTAATATGGAGTGATGGGGAGGAAAATAGAACAAAAAGCGGTGGAGGTTGGTGACAGAGATGTTGGTTTCTCAGACACCCACGGGAATGTATGGTGGAGAGAAAGACACATGTCTTTCACCATGTACACCATATATACATTGGAGACGTGCAAAACTCGGGGAAAGCATTTGTCAAAGTTTTATTTTATGTTCCAAAGATCCCAGACAGTCTCACATTAGGCTGGGAATAGTTTTGTCTCTGGATTTGATTAACAAACGAATTCTGGAAATCTCTATACTGCGTGGGAGGATAACAGAAGGGAATGAAAAAATGCTATGCGCACCCAGAATAGCCCCCCATAATTGCTCTACTTCTGAAAAAAAAAAAAAAGATTGAAAGACTTGCGCTTCATATTGACAGGAACCTTCTATAGCATCCTGATCCCATTTCAAAAAGAATTACTGAAAGGAACTGAAATCCAGTCAGGTTACAGTATAAGTAAAAGCAAAATACACCAACATTTTTTTTCAGGTTTAGCTTATTATTTAAATAGTGTGATTTGCACCAGTTCAAATGCATCCCAATAATATAATAATCAAAAGGGTATTAAAGATGCGTGTAACATTTCTCCTAGCCTATGTCATTGACAAAATCTTCAGGACTTTCTTACTATTTCAATACTCTTCATTGTCATCTTTAATTACTAGATTCCAGAGTTTACGTTAGCTTAGTTAGCTAGCTAGCTGCTAGTGACAGTTGTAGTTTCAGCAAAATTGATGGTAGCTAGCTAAACATTTTAGATTGATGACTGGTACAACTGCTACCGTCATACTGCATAATAGTTGATGTTATGACTGCTGACTGCTATACCCAGATTTCACCATAAAAAAAGGAAAAACATGTAAAAAAGTGATTATGTAAACCATATTTTTATGCCAAAGCATTTCAACTACAATTACAAAACCAATTTGGCTTGGTAAACAAAATGTAGTGCAGGACACAGCAGTTATATTCTTGTCAGCACTTAATGGAGTGTTGCAGGATTTAGTCCTGACAACTTGGAAATGGGTTAGCATTTTTGCACTTCCGGTTCCCTCGTCTTGAAGTCAATGTTTTTTTAATGGGTTTTTGAGCTGGATGTAAATATCCCATCGGCTTTTTGTCGAGGGAACCAGTACAATGCTAACTTTTGAGTTTGGAAGAATATGAAAAAACAATGTTGTCATGTCAACACTTTTATTTTGAAGGTACTAAAAAGCTTTATATTTTGAAATTACTGCTTTGGTTGAACAACAGATTAAATCTCAGTTTTTTTAATTGCAGTCTGCCGTATATTATTTATAAGGAGACACAGGCTCACCAACAGAGAAGGTATCTCTTACACTAATTTAGTTGTACACAAACTCCGTTGTGAATCCTGCTCAGATGCAAATGCAGTCCAACAGCCGCAGATGGCGAATCAATGCCCACCTTATACTAACTCTGGCAAACACGACAGAAGGTATAAATCAAGGTGGAGTGCTTTGGATGGTTGCTCCCA